AAGTTTTTTCTATAGAAAAAAATTCCCCAGGCCACTGAGGTAAGTTTTTTCTATAGAAAAAAATTCCCCAGGCCACTGAGGTAAGTTTTTTTCTATAGAAAAAAATTCCTCAGGCCATTGAGGTAAGTTTTTTCTATAGAAAAAAATTCCTCAGGCCATTGAGGTAAATTTTTTCTATAGAAAAAAATTCCTCAGGCCATTGAGGTAAGTTTTTTCTTTACAAAAAAATTCCTCAAGCCACTGAGGTAAGTTTTTTCTTTAGAAAAAAATTCCTCAAGCCACTGAGGTAAGTTTTTTCTTTAGAAAAAAATTCCTCAAGCCTCAGTTAGAATTCATTCTATTATCTTTGCTTGGTATGAGCCATCAAATCCTAAACGGCAACATTGTACAACATAAGTTATTTTAAAACTTTGCCGAGAACAACAAAACGTTTAGAACAATGGACACATTTTCCCTCGTGAAGCACTTCAATAGCAGCTGCTGCTAGACAGCCAGGCAGAAACAACAATAACTCTATTATTTGTAGCTTTCAGAATTCTTAACCACACAAAACTTGGCGAAATAATCAATCTTCGTAGCTGACAGCAGCAACCGTCGTACTTCGAAGCGTTGCAACACTCCGCCACCTTTTATCGATTGTGGTGGCTGCAGCCTCAAATCTTCACGTAGTTTGTCAGCTCATTATGTTCCGAAGCAAAAGATACAATCCAGCAGCTTCTGTTGTTGCCACTTCTACGAACTGAATTGCCGGCCAAACAAAGGCGATTTCCCGCCTTTCTTGCCAGTCGTAGATCTGTCGATTATTGGCTGGCTTGGCTTGTTGGTTAGTTAGGTGATTCAATCTTCGATTTCCGTTTTGCTACTGTTTCAGCAACGGCAAGTGTTTGTTGCTGTTGTTGATTTTCCCTCTTTTGTTTTGAGATTTTTCAATTTGTTAAATTGATTGAAAGTATTGAGAGCAACAAGCGGGAGAATACGAGGTTAGTGGGAAAGTTATTTGCTCTATGAGGATTTCTAAGGAAACTGAGGAGACTTTTTTCTATAGTAAAAAATTCCTCAGGAAACTGAGGAGACTTTTTTCTATAGTAAAAAATTCTTCAGGAAACTGAGGAGACTTTTTTCTATACAAAAAAATTCCTCAGGTCCCTGAGGAAACTTTTTTCTATACAAAAAAATTCCTCAGGTCCCTGAGGAGACTTTTTTCTATAGAAAAAACTGTCCTCAGGGACCTGAGGAATTTTTTTCTATAGAAAAAACTTTTCCATAGAAAAAAAATCCTCAGGTCCCTGAGGAGAGTTTTTTCCATAGAAAAAAAAATCCTCAGGTCCCTGAGGAGAGTTTTTTCCATAGAAAAAAAATCCTCAGGTCCCTGAGGGGAGTTTTTTCCACAGAATAAAATCCTCAGGTCCCTGAGGAGAGTTTTTTCCATAGAAAAAAATCCTCAGGTCCATGAGGAGAGTTTTTTCCATAGAAAAAAAATCCTCAGGTCCCTGAGGAGAGTTTTTTCCATAGAAAAAATCCTCAGATCCCTGAGGAGAGTTTTTTCCATAGAAAAAAATCCTCAGGTCCCTGAGGAGAGTTTTTTTCCATAGAAAAAATCCTCAGATCCCTGAGGAGACTTTTTCCAACAGAAAAAATTTCTCAGCTGGCTGAGAAGACTTTTTCCTAAAGAAAAAATTTCCTCAGCTGGCTGAGAAGACTTTTTCCTAAAGAAAAAATTTCCTCAGTTGGCTGAGAAGACTTTTTCCTAAAGAAAAAATTTTCTAGCTGGCTGAGAAGACTTTTTCCTAAAGAAAAATTTCCTCAGCTGGCTGAGGAGACTTTTTCCTATAGAAAAAATTTCCTCAGCTGGCTGAGGAGACTTTTTCCTATAGTAAAAATTTCCTCAGCTGGCTGAGGAGACTTTTTCCTATAGAAAAAATTTCCTCAGCTGGCTGAGGAGACTTTTTCCTATAGAAAAAATTTCCTCAGCTGGCTGAGGAGACTTTTTACTACAGAAAAAATTTCCTCAGCTGGCTGAGGAGACTTTTTCCTACAGAAAAAATTTCCTCAGCTGGCTGAGGAGACTTTTTCCTATAGAAAAAATTTCCTCAGCTGCCTGAGGAGACTTTTTCCTATAGAAAAAATTTCCTCAGCTGCCTGAGGAGACTTTTTCCTATAGAAAAAATTTCCTCAGCTGGCTGAGGAGACTTTTTCCTATAGAAAAAATTTCCTCAGCTGGCTGAGGAGACTTTTTCCTATAGAAAAAATTTCCTCAGCTGCCTGAGGAGACTTTTTCCTATAGAAAAAATTTCCTCAGCTGCCTGAGGAGACTTTTTCCTATAGAAAAAATTTCCTCAGCTGCCTGAGGAGACTTTTTCCTATAGAAAAAATTTCCTCAGCTGCCTGAGGAGACTTTTCCTATAGAAAAAATTTCCTCAGCTGGCTGAGGAGACTTTTTCCTATAGAAAAAATTTCCTCAGCTGGCTGAGGAGACTTTTTCCTATAGAAAAAATTTCCTCAGCTGGCTGAGGAGACTTTTCCTATAGAAAAAATTTCCTCAGCTGGCTGAGAAGACTTTTTCCTATAGAAAAAATTTCCTCAGCTAGCTGAAGAGACTTTTTCCTCAGCTGGCTGAGGAGACTTTTTCCTATAGAAAAAATTTCCTCAGCTGGCTGAGGAGACGTTTTCCTATAGAAAAAATTTCCTCAGCTGGCTGAGGAGACTTTTTCCTATAGAAAAAATTTCCTCAGCTGGCTGAGGAGACTTTTTCCTCAGCTGGCTGAGGAGACTTTTTCCTATAGAAAAAATTTCCTCAGCTGGCTGAGGAGACGTTTTCCTATAGAAAAAATTTCCTCAGCTGGCTGAGGAGACGTTTTCCTATAGAAAAAATTTCCTCAGCTGGCTGAGGAGACTTTTTCCTACAGAAAAAATTTCCTCAGCTGGCTGAGGCGACTTTTTCATATAGAAAAAATTTCCTCAGCTGGCTGAGGAGACTTTTTTAATTCTTCCAAGTAAATTATTCCGCACATCTGGCATTGTTTCATTTTAAGCCAGCCATTGTTCAAATTTTCTGGTCGCGATAATGTGCTGTTGTTATGTCTGGTGTTATTGTCATTGTGACAATTATTGTTGTTGTGAAATACAATGGCTACTGTGTTGGCTTTTGAAACAACAACAATACCAACGTAAGCCAAAAATTAAACCACAAACCGAAAAATTTAATTTGTAATTGTTTTATGTTTTTGGGCACGGGAACAGGGGGCGGGGCAGGGCTTATAGTTAAAGTGGGGGCCTTGTTGTTTGAATGAAAAGCAGTGAGTCTGATTCGAGGGATATTTTTCATTTTCTTGAACCTCTAAAATATGGATTACAAAATTTTCCAACACCAACATGATTAATGGTAGGAAGTTTTCTAGGCTGCTGTTGCTGCTGCCTTATTAGCCGCTATTTTGTCTTACCATTCTTGGCCATTGGTAATGAGAGACTGCAGGCATTGCCGTAATAGGAGTCTTTGGCAAAAACAAGCTAATAAATCATTCGTTAAATATATATTTTTTTTTAATTTTGCGTTGGGGTAAAAACCGACCAATAAGAGAGGAGATTTTTACACCATGGGTTCCTTGGAAACTCAGAGGCATAGAATATATATTTTTTTAGTCCAAGCTCTGAGGTTCATAATCTGGTATAAGAAAATATATTCTTTTCGTCATTACTTTCTTTGTCTTTTTGCTTGACCACCATCCCCAGCAGATATTATGTAAATTACAAATAGACTTCATCACTTGTTATTGTTGTCGTATTTCCTTCTCTTTTCTTTGGCTTTTTTTATGACAAACCGTAATTTCTCAATCTCAACTGTTTCTTGTTGGCTTTCAGTTTTCACAACTTCCCCAAGTTATCGCCAGCCTCCTAATCAAGCAACATTGTTGGTGGACCGTTTGTAACAGATAAGCAATAATACGACTTTTTTATTTGTGGAAACAGAGAGGGAAAGCTCACTCCGCCACTAGCTTGTAATAAAGAAATAACAATTGCAGATATTTTTTCTTAAGTCCAGAGTATAGACAGAAATCTATATAATTTTTCCATAGAATTTTTTCCAATCCTCGTCCCACAAAGGAATATTTTTCTATAGACTGAAGATTTTTTTTCTATAGAAAAAAGTCTCCTCAGCCAACTGAGGAATTTTTTTCTATAGAAAAAAGTCTCCTCAGCCAACTGAGGAATTTTTTTCTATAGAAAAAGTCTCCTCAGCCAACTGAGGAATTTTTTTCTATAGAAAAAAGTCTCCTCAGCCAACTGAGGAATTTTTTTCTATAGAAAAAGTCTCCTCAGCCAACTGAGGAATTTTTTCCTATAGAAAAAACTTACCTCAAATAACTGAGGATTTTTTTTCTATAGAAAAAACTGTCCTCAGAGAACTGAGGAATTTTTTTCTATAGAAAAAACTCACCTCAGAGGAATGAGGAATTTTTTTCTATAGAAAAAACTTACCTCAGAGAACTGAGGAATTTTTTTCTATAGAAAAAACTTACCTCAGAGAACTGAGGAATTTTTTTCTATAGAAAAAACTTACCTCAGAGAACTGAGGAATTTTTTTCTATAGAAAAAACTTACCTCAGAGAACTGAGGAATTTTTTTCTATGGAAAAAACTTACCTCAGAGAACTGAGGAATTTTTTTCTATAGAAAAAACTTACCTCAGAGAACTGAGGAATTTTTCTCTATTTTTTTTCCTATAGAAAAAACTGTCCTCAGGGACCAGCGGAATTTTTTCCTATAGAAAAAACTGTCCTCAGGGACCTGCGGAATTTTTTTCTATAGAAAGACTGTCCTCAGGGACCAGTGGAATTTTTTTCTATAGAAAAAACAGTCCTCAGGGACCTGCGGAATTTTTTCCTATAGAAAAAACTGTCCTCAGGGACCTGAGGAATTTTGCTGTATTAAATAAAACCAACTAAAATCAACTAAAACTAGTTCGAACATTAAAAAAATGTTTCCCTTTCTTTATCTTTGCAGACCAAGTGAATCGAAACCGCGACCTCTTTAAGGACACTGATCAAGGAGTTGTAGAAAAACAATCGACAAAAGAAAATAGAGATCTTCCCATTTCATTGACATAACTTCAAGCACAACCAGACACCCCAATGCCGATGTCTTTCAATTTATAAAACGACATTATCACGCTTTACCTGTGGCGGTTCAATATCGTCATCACGATTTTTAAACACCTTAAAATACAATTTTACACCTTTAGCTGCCAAAGCTATCGTAATGCCCATTTATCACAAGGCCCCACCCACAGTTTCGGGCAGCCATGCAACCTCGGAAATCGATAATCACACCTCGGAGGCAGCCAAAGTTAAGAGGACCCGTGAGCAGGCCTATTTCAATTCATATGACTTCGATGCAATTGAGGTGCTGCCCTATGACGATGAGGATGAAGAGGATGGGGAGGGTAGGCATAAGGGGAACAGGGATGGAAGGGGTCACAACAAGTCAGCAATAACAACAACAAATAGTCAACAGCATCTAAAGTCTAAGCAGCAACAAAAACCACAACAGCAATTACATTCAAGTCAAACCAGACAGCATTTACCACCGTCATCCGCAGCACAGGCCAGCTTTGGTTATTCCAGCTCAAAACAGCCACATCCCCAACAGCATCCTCCTGCAGCTGTTCGGGGCAAAATCTCCTCCACTAGTGATAATTTCATAGTCGATAAGCATCCTCCTCATCTGAGCAGCCATGGCCAGGCCAAAATGCCCGGCAACAAACACACCAGCTCATATCTGCAACGTTTCGGGGTGGCCCTTTTCGGGGGCATAAATGTCAATCCCACCACCAACAACAACAATGCGAGTGGCCACAAAGGAGGCAGTAACCACAACTCTGCCTCTTCGTCACTGTCCACAACATCGACCTCTTCATCGTTTGCCGATGACGATGAGGATGACATTAAACACTTGAAAGTGTCATCATCGGGCATATCCTCATCGACATCGTCAGCATCATCAAAATCCAGGACCAAGGCTTCGTGTTGCTCCTCCTCCTCTGCTACGTCATCATCGGCAGCGGCCGCCGCAGAAACATCAATGGCTGTGGATAGCCTCGATCAAAATATTGCCAATGATACAACGGCAACAGCTGTTGACATCAACGCCAAGGAGGCTGCTGCTGCTGCCACACCTACAGCTGCCAGTTCGTCTGATGGAAATTTCCTATTGCCTCGTGTAATGCTTAAATATCAAAGGTAAGTTTAATTTGAAAAAAGCTTAAAAATACCAACAAAAACTCTCCAATCTCAAAGAAATATACTCAGGCCATCAAGGAGACGTTTTTTAAAGAAATTAAATGCCCAGGGAACAGTGGAGACTACAGAAAAAAATTTCGCAGTGAACTGATGAGACTTTTTTCTATAAAAAGTGACCGGTGGAGACTTTTTTGACCCGTGGAGACTTTTTTAATAGAAAACAAATTCCCCGGTGAACTTTGGAGACCTTTTTCCATAGAAAAAAATCCACAGTGTACTGCGGAGACTTTTTTCTATAGAAAAAAATTCCACAGTGTACTGTGGAGACTTTTTTCTATAGAAAAAAATTCCACAGTGTAATGTGGAGACTTTTTTCTATAGAAAAAAATTCCACAGAGTGCTGTGGAGACTTTTTTCTATAGAAAAAAATTCCACAGTGTACTGTGGAGACTTTTTTCTATAGAAAAAAATTCCACAGTGTACTGTGGAGACTTTTTTCTATAGAAAAAAATTCCCCAGTGAACTGTGGAGACTTTTTTCTACAGAAAAAAATTCCCAAGTGAACTGTGGAGACTTTTTTCTACAGAAAAAAATTCCACAGTGTACTGTGGAGACTTTTTTCTATAGAAAAAAATTCCCCAGTGAACTGTGGAGACTTTTTTCTACAGAAAAAAATTCCCCAGTGAACTGTGGAGACTTTTTTCTACAGAAAAAAATTCCCCAGTGAACTGTGGAGACTTTTTTCTACAGAAAAAAATTCCCCAGTGAACTGTGGAGACTTTTTTCTATAGAAAAAAATTACCCAGTGAACTGTAGAGACTTTTTTCTATAGAAAAAAATTCCCCAGTGAACTGTGGAGACTTTTTTCAATAGAAAAAAATTCCCCAGTGAACTGTGGAGACTTTTATCAATAGAAAAGAACTCCACAGTGAAACGTGGAGACGTTTTTCTATACAAAAAGACTCCACAGTGAAACGTGGAGACTTTTTTCTATAGAAAAAAATCCACAGTGAAACGTGGAGACTTTTTTCTAAAGAAAAAAACTCCAAAGTGAAACGTGGAGACTTTTTTCTATAGAAAAAAATTCTCCAGTGAACTGTGAAGACTTTTTCCTATAGAAAGCAGTTCCCCAGTGAACTGTGGAGACTTTTTTCGATAGAAAGAGGTTCCCCAGTGAACTGTGGAGGCTTTTTTCTATAGAAAGAAATCCCCCAGTGAACTGTGGAGACTTTTTTCGATAGAAAAAAGTTCCCCAGTGAACTGTGGAGACTTTTTTCTGTAGAAAAATCACCAATTTCTATAGACATATCTCTTCAAAATATTTCTGCGCTAACTCCTTTGATACATTTTTACTTGTCTGTAAAGGTCATTTAATAAATAAAAGACAGATAGATAATAAAATAAAAATCGCTGTTCCTGATAGCCCCGCTGTTGCTTTGACACAAAAACAGTAGCCAAATTACCGACTCATTCATAAAACTTGGCCATTTACACACACTCATTTATATAATTAAAGATTATTTTTATCTATGGATCCGATCATCATCAACGTGCATTGTCCGCATCTTTAACAATGGGAGAATCATCATCTTGAAAAGGGCATAATTTGCTCGATTCATTTCATTGGACAAAAGAGGGGTCTCCCGTGGGGAGATGTGCTTTGCTTTTGTGACACAGTCCATAAGTGTTGTGTTAAGTATCTGGTGGGTAATGGAGGTCAATGTTAGTGGAACTTGGCTCTGTGAACATTTCAACCTGCCCAGATTGTCTATGCCAGGGATGGAAATACAAAAACATATTTTTCTAATACAAATTTGAAAAAAATCTTTAGGTATTTAGATCTCAACTATTTTCATATAACAGGGCATTGAAGTTTTCCATAAAATATCGATTCTATGAGTAATACTATCCATCGCTGGTCACTATCATGTGTAATGATTAATATCATTACATGTTGTTTTTAAGCTAATTCCATTTTATTGCTGTAATGAAGTCCCACATCGCACACACACACTCACACAGAAGTGGCCACACCAACACATCGAAAAACTCTCAGATAATGAAGACTAAATGCTGGTACTTAAAACAAAAATTAAAAGTTTTTCCCACTTTGTGCGAAGGGATTCCAAGTTGTTGCTTTTGTTCGAACACAGCTTGAGGTGGAAAAGGGAGGTGCTGTGTGGGGTGCATGAGCAGAAAATGCAACATTTAAGTGCTGGGTTTTTTGGTGGCACTTGAACACCTCATCCACACGAAGACACACACACCGATTGGTGTTGCATTAATGGCAGTGTAATCTTAGAAGTCAAGTGCATTATATGGCAATTGTAGTTGTTGTTGTTGCTACAAATGAAGATCTCAAGTACTTTTTTGTCGGAGACAATCGAAGCACAATGTGAAACCCTTTGTAAGGGAATTACAACATCCATTAACCACTTAATTAGGGCAATAATTTTGGGTGGGAGACTATTTTTTGTGGAGGTGGTGGGAGTAAAGGCCATGCATTTAAAAGCCACAAAGCATAAAATAGCCACAAGAGAAAAAAATTTGAAGATCATTTTTTTATTTTATTTTTATTAAAAGAAAAAAGTTTTTGGTAGAGCGGATTTGCAGTTTCCGCTCAGATCTACTTAGAAATTTCCTCCAGAAGAAATAGTCTCCAAAGTCTCCCCAGACATTTTTTTCTAAAGAAAAATAGTCTCCCCCGGTCCGCGGACTTAACTTTTTTGCAACAAAAAATTTAAGCCAACTCAGATTTTTTCTATAGAAAAAAGCCCTCCCAGGCCACCGAAACTGTTACTACGTAACAAAGTATCCTTAGATATTTGTGAAAATTTATCTTTTTCTCAAAAAAAAATCTCCTTCAGCAAATTTTTTTTTTCTGTAGAAAAAGTTTCCTCTGCCGCTGGCCGAGCAAATGTTCTTCTATAGAAGCCGAGGGCTGAACAACTTTTTTCTATAGAAAAAAGTCTCCTTAGCCGTGGACCGAGCTACTTTTTTATACCCTTCACCTTGGAAAGTAATATACCCTAACTTATCCCCTAAATATTCGTCGTAGACCCCATAATGTATATATATATTCATAAATTCTAAATCGATTTAATGATGTCCGTCTGTCTTTCTGTCCGCCCCTCTGTTGAAATCATGATACAGGCCACATTATTTGACACAGAGCGTCAAAATTAAGCAGAATAATTTGTAAGGTTGTCTAGGATGGTATGAGATATATGGGTCCACGTTTTGGTATAGTCCCCATATAACGGTACCTTCCGATATTCGGTATTTTGATGATTTTTGCCACACTTTTTTCACGAATTTGTCTAAAAATTGGAATTTGTTGGTCATAATAGGTTCTTGCTCCGTATTTGTGGGTCATAATTGGTTCTAATGTTTCCATTTCCCTAAGGTAGACGGTATTAAAAGTTCGGACCGGCCGAACTTAATGTTTTTATACCCTCCACCATACTATGGAGGGTATATTAACTTTGTCATTCCGTTTGTAACTCCTCAAAATACTCATGTCAGACCCAACAAAGTATATATAAATTTTTGATCAGCGTAAAATTCTAAGTCGATTTAGCGATGTCCGACTGTCCGTCTGCCTGTCTGTTGTAATCACGCTATCTTTCGAACGAATTGAGATATTAGGCTAAAATTTTGCACAGGTGTTTATTTTTCCCGTAGGCAGGTTAAGTTCGTAAATGGGCCATGTAGGTGCACTTTTTCATATAGCCCCCCTATAACGGTACCTCCCGATATTCGGTATTGTGATGATTTTAGCGACATTATTCACCGGATTTGTTTTAAATTTGGTATTTGAAGTTCGTAATGAATACTACAGCATAAGGCAGAAATTTGTCGGTGCAGGACCACGTCTTCGAATAGCCATTCATATAACGGTACCTCCCGATACTCGGCATTTTGATGATTTTAGCGACATTATTCATCGGAATTGTTTCAAATTTGGTATTTGAGATTCGTAATGGATATTACAGCCTGTGACAGAAAATTGTCGGTGCAGGACCACGTCTTCGTATAGCCCCCATATAACGGTACCTCCCGATATTCGGTATTTTGATGATTTTAGCGTCATTATTCACCGGAATTGTTTCAACTTTGGTATTTGAAGTTCGAAATGGATACTACAGCCTATGACAGAAAATTATCTGGGCAGGTCCACGTCTTCGTATAGCCATTCTTATAACGGTACCTCCCGATACTCGGCATTTTGATGATTTTAGCGACATTATTCATCGGAATTGTTTCAAATTTGGTATTTGAGATTCGTAATGGATATTACAGCCTGTGACAGAAAATTGTCGGTGCAGGACCACGTCTTCGTATAGCCCCCATATAACGGTACCTCCCGATATTCGGTATTTTGATGATTTTAGCGTCATTATTCACCGGAATTGTTTCAAATTACGTATTTTGAGTTCGTAATGGGAACTACAGTCTGTGACAGAAAATTGCCTATGCAGGTTCAGGTCTTCGTATAGGCCCCATATATCAGTACCTCCCTATATTCGGTATTTTGACGATTTTAGGTACAATACCAACCGAAATTGTTTGAGATGTGGCATTTGAATTTCGTAATGGATGCTACAGCCTGTGACAGAAAATTGTCTATGCTGGTTCAGGTCTTCGCACAGCTCCAATTTAACGGCACCTCCTTATATACGATATTTTGATGATTTTAGCTACATTATTCACCATTTTTTTCAAGTTTCGAATTTGAATATGGCAATGGCTAATGGCAAACAATGCCTATGTAGGTCCACGTCGATAGACCCCAATATAACGGCTATATTCGGTATTTTTAAAATTTTTACAAAATTTTTTACGGATTTTTTTTTTTTTTTTTGAAGTTATCCAAATTCGTTCCAAATGGTGGAGGATTTTCAAAGTTCGACCCGGCCGAACTTAATATTTTTTACTTGTTTTTATACAAAAAAGTCTTCACAGCCCAATAAAGAGTTTTCAAGGATTGATTCCAGAGA